GGGTGAAGAGACCTCACAGGACACCCACTTTCATCTGTCCCTTTAGAAGAAGGGCAAGAGTTTCTCAGTAGTGCTGAGAAATGCTATTTAGACAGCTGGAGGCTCCTCTGAAGAGTTTACCCAGCCCATTATCTTTTACTGGTCTGCTCTGATTGATGTACACCAGAAGGAGGCATACGTGCTCATGCTTTCCTTTTCTTTTAGTTAGGAGACATGTTTTCATATAATTTCTCCTCTTATAACAATATCTCATGCACAAGTACATGCACGTTGCGAAGGAACAATCTCTGCACTCAAGCTGGATGAACAATTGCTGACCTGCTGCCCTCCATCCAGGAGCCTGGATATAAAGGCTTTTTTGAAGTTACTTTTATATAAGAATCCAGTCTCTTTCTTTCGTGACTCCTGTTTAAGCCCTTAGAGTCCATCATCAGCTGCAAGTTATTTACTCCCTTCCGGGAAGAGAAAGCCAGCAGTCACCAGCAGTAACACAGCACTCTAATTTGCATGAGGATCTCTGAATGCCGCTGACAGATTGCAAAGCAACCCTTTCTGGTCCCCCTTGAACAATACTGCCATGCATCCCCATCCCAAATTTCACAGTCACAGTAAGTAAGTGTCCGAAGTTCTCTTTCTGTCATGGGTTTTCTGCATAGCGATTAATCATCGCCCAGCTAATGTGGCCAGCCTCCATTCTAGACCTTGCAGTGGGGGAAGGCAAATTTGCTGGAAAACACCTGATATTATTCACTGACACTCTCAGCACCACACACTCACAAGCACCAGGATGCGTGTTCAGGTGGTCTAGCCAAGGTTACTTGCAGAGACATAGAGGACAACAGCTGCTGGCTTCTGAGTCCTCTTTGCCTTCTCCTGGGCTCCTCAGGTCAGTGACCTTGAGCTGTTTTTTGCACTCGTTAGGTAGGAGCTGACAGCGATTGGGATTTTTTTGTCTCTCCACCTCTCATACCCCCCAGCATGAGTCGTTAGGCAACACATTTTTACCTCCGTTCTTTACCTCGCTGTCCCACTATCATTTCTTAATGGCTTCACTCGTTAGTTTGAGCTGTTCCTTGTTTTAGTGTGTTCTGTGCTTTCTGGTCTCAGTGTCCTGAGAAGCTGCGTGTCGATGTGCCATGATCTCAATGGCCTGCTAATAGAGGTACCAGCAGCACATGCCATGCTTTTATCTCTTCTTCTGCCACTCCGTCTGCTGCTTGCGCACACAGACATTCCTATTCATACTCCACTACACTGATCTTAATGTTTCTACTACTAATCTCTAGAGATTAGTATAGGGATGAGAGAAAATACTCTTCCACAGACATGGACATGATCCTCTCCTCTTTTTTTTCAGGATAAATATCAGAGTACGAATGTTAGTGGGCATTTATATTCTCCAATATACCACCTTTCAGCTCAGGAACGTCTCTGGACCTCTCCACTCCAGCTTCTTGGTTCCCTTCTCTGGTAATCTTCTTTCCAGCTAGTTTGCTGGCAAATCAAAGGCACCACATGGCCAAACTGCTAGCCAGACTGTTAGCTGTTAACCTGGTGTGCCCATTCCGCCTTTCTCCTGTGCTCTTCCCC